AGAAATACAAAGGCAAAGTAGCCTTCTAGGCCATTAGTGTTGTACTGTCATCAAAACCTCGACAGGATCACTATTGCTTCTCTTATCACATCTGTCAGAAATTTGACAAGACCAATTGGAGTCAAAAGATTAATAGGAAACTGGCCATTCAATGGTGGTAAACTACCTGACTGACCAATGGTCACCTTGACCAATACTGGTCAAAACCAAAAACATTCATATAATAGTAAAGCCCAGCTCAGAAATGGAAGAGAAAGCACCCCAGCAACAGTGTATAGAGACGGACCATCAATCTCCCTTGACAACCAAATCAAAGCGAAGAATCGACAATAATTAGTCATCACTCTGATCTCTAATCACACTACAGACATTTCTAGCTGATATTTGCCATTCAATTATAAGTATGATTAAAAACCCTTCAAATAATGCCATTTTTTTTCCTTTTAGTACAAACTTAGAAAACTGAAACTTCATGCATAATAAATGAAATATTCTTTTAAAAAGGTACATTTGAATCATTCCCATATTTGAGATATTTTCTCTGGAAAATCAGAGGCCACATCATGGTATTTTCACTTTAATGAGCAGATCTTTGGTAACCACCTTTTAAAATATCAAAGTTTTCCATCAACAGAATATACATAAAAAATATCAACAAAAATCAAAAATTAACTGAATTCTAAACATCACAAATTAGACCTATCTGTCCTGCATATCATGTCATCTACCACAAACTTGGCGTGGTTGACATTTAGTAATCTTCATACAAATGAGGATGGACAAAAAATGAACGGAAACATGGTTGGAAAAAATCAAAGAAAAAAAAGAATGATTATTTCAGTAAATGGCAATATGGCAACTAATTTTCCTTTGAATTATATTGGTATGTGTCATCATATATCAAGATTATCTGAATGGGATGCTATTGTGAATGAGTAAGGATATATGATAGCACGGCATGGCCCCATTTATAGTTCTCGACAATAACGCAGTGACCTCTATTATGCCAACTCTCCCCTTTTCTATGACACCGCATGCATATGCATGTGCACAGGAAATTAAACAGCTTTTCACACTCGACAGGAGTACACAGAACCCAAGGTTAAAGTTCACATCGAGCAATCACATGATCAGTCTAAGTGATGGACAGATTTTCATCAGACAAAATTGGATTGATTGTCAGAAATTAGCACCATGGATAACCCTTCATAAGCCTTGGACAACCAGCAACAGGAAACCCCAGAAGGCTCCGGGAAACACTTTCCAATCTCAAACTGCCATACAGCTCAACAGGGGAGGATATGTTTTTGACACTGTGTGAATAGAAAAAGGAATTCAAATCCATTCATTTTGAGATCAGTTTTGAAATTTCTGATGTTCAGTGTGGTTTTTTTTCTTCCCTTTTTAAGAAAAAAATGAAAATGTCATGTAGTCACAAATGTGTTATATTATCCATAACTATATATATATATGTGATCTTGTGTTGCAAAGATTTTAAAATTTTTTCTTCATACATGTATTTAAAAATCATAAAGTAACTTTAAATATAACTTAAATCAAAACAAAAAAAATTTTTAAAAAAATCCTTCATAGGAATTTTCCTGTATGAAATACTCACATAGTGACTATGTATACAAAGAGTGCTATTGACTGAAAGCTACAATAAACCTCCTCATATCTTATCATACTCATCACAATGTTTACATAGTAGACACAATAAAGACATTCAATAAAGATAAAAAGACAAAGCATTTTTATTCAGAGTATATCTTAATATACACTACAACGAGGTAATATGTACCCTGGTGTTGCCATGTAATAAAGATTTAGGGTCCCTGGTCCACATTTTGGTACCATTGTCCATGTTAAGAACAAACAGCTTTACACAATTATTAAAACATGGTATTTATGACAAAACTGATGTCTAGACAACATCATTAAATATGATTACTGAGTTCTTAGCTGGTATTACATAACAGTATTTTAGAAAATTCCTAACCATGTATAGCATATTTTGAATTATTCTTGGTACACACAATGTGAATATTTCATGTTGATGAAAATTTGTTTGATAACCAGAGGAAAAAAATATAAACCAAAAGAGTGACCAAAATTATTGTTTTTTGGGTTATTTGTACCTTTGTAAAGTAAGTTTTGGTATCTTTTTAGCAACTTCTTCAAAATGAATGATCCAAGGGAGACAACCTCGACTCCTTGAGCATTTTCTGCTGAACAGATTGCAGACTCCCTTTTGTGTGTCAAAGTAACATTAAAATGTCAAAGTGTCTACACAGCAGTTTCATAACAGAAGAGAAAAATGAGGGATAAGCTTGGAAGGGGGAAGACATGTTGAATGACAATATTTCCTAACATGAAATACAGAGTTAAGGTCAAAGAGTACAGATTTGACACACCATGAGACACAACAGCCGTCAAACTCTAGCCTATCACACTACTTAATCTCATGGTTGACCACAAAATTTTTTATTTACTTTTTTCAAAAATAACTTTCGACACTGTAGGTGAATGTTAAGATGGAATGACATCTTGAATGTATAATTTCAACGAACTGACATTTTCTTCAGGGCAAAAAGTCATAAATTTCAACAGTTGAACATGTCAAACTTAACCCAACAAGGTTGGAAATAGTAAACACTAGATGTAGTATTAAGCCCAGAGGCCTTGCTTCTTATCGTAACACCCAATATTTTTATTAGTAAATTCATTCATACCTTCTGCCGACCACAACAGTAGGTCAATCTGCCTGGGGACACTTTGAGCTGACACTTTTCCTACAGAGATTATGTACATCAGTACTTTTGATTTGTCAATGAACAATGTGACAGGGAAATCATGGATAGCATCCCCTCTATGTTAAACATCTAGGTTGATTCAAATACAAAGAGAAACCTGTAATGTTCTACTGAACACTGTTTGATTTCTAGCTGTCATTTAGCTGATACGGATTCAAAAATGTTAAACAAATTCCTGTTGTTATCAAAAGAACATCTTCACGACTGGAATCACACTGTTTGTAATTTTGTGACTTGCCGAAACTGCAATTTTTAAAATTGTATCTAAACAAGAATTTTTTAGGACTATGCAGTGCAAAGTGATTTGAACGCTTAATTGAGCTGGTTAGTTGTAAACTTGAAATGAAACTTAATTTCATAAACAGATTCTTTCATATCTTAAGAACTTAACACAACCTCCCTCATACCTAAGTAGCTGTATCCAAATTTAAAAGTAAAGCACCGATTGATTGTGTGAATAAACTAGAAATCAATGATCCAAAACTAAGAAGGAGCCTGTTTTTTCCTTTGATTTTAAAGATATTCGACATTGACAAATTCTGATAAACAAGAAAAAAGCTCACTTTTGACGGATTCAGAGATGTGCATTTCAACATCAGAAATTGCTGAACATTGATCTCGAATTGTTGGCTCGTAATCAACAAACCATACAACATCTGACCAATGAAATGTCTTGATACAACAGCAATCAATCTAGGATTCAAATCGGCAAAAACTATCACACTCCTTATCAATCATCTGCTTAAAAAGATGTTCCGACTTGCATCTCGATAGAATCGAACAAACAGACCATTCACTGATTGATCAGGCTCTTAATTGTCATGTGATATTGACTAGATATTGGTTAACAGTCAGGAAGTATACATCGCTCTGATTGGGTATCACATGATCGGTGGAGCGGCACAATCGCATGACATCATCTTTCCAAAAGTAGTAAAGTAGCTGGAGCCAGTTACATGCCTCCTCCCATGGGAGTTGTGTGTCCCAAGAACCCCTCCCCGATAGTTCCAGCTTCGATTTATTCCTGTCAAAAGATTCTTATCGCGTAGATAATTATGACCTGTGCTAATTATACTCATTGCAGAATGAGTCATTCATCCTCATATTGATGAAAAATTGATAATCTTTTGTAATATACCGCTTCCAATTTTTGTGTTTTTCGATGTTTCGGTGCTATACCGATTATAGCTAATCCATATAGCTTATAATAGTAGCACATTTTATATGTAAATAAATCCATTTCAATCTGTCAATATGTTTTCAGAAATTCGATTGATTTTCTGAGTTCAACAATCGCAGGTGTCCATCTCCTGGGGTTTACTAAGGCTGAATATCCATTGTAATTAATTAAGTATCATTAATTATTTAAACTTCAACATTAGGACAATGCCCTTAAGCTATGTGACAATAAGTCTTCTCACTATCTATTTATTTCATATGAATTGTGGAAAAGTTATCAGAATATATACAGAAAATGTAACAAATCTAAATAACTGAAAAATTTTGCAACAAAAATGTTCATAAGACTTTTTCTAGAATGCACCATATGCAATAATTTACATGAAACGAAACCATATTTGATTTTGTATTATTTCTTCTATACGTCTGCCAAATCGCACATGCATTACCTGCGATCATATGCACACTGATATGAGCTATAATCCACGGTACTCAAGAAAAGCTGCATAAACGACCCGTTCTGCATTTTAAGTGACCTGACAGCGTTAAGTTACAAACTCAATAACACAGATTTTCATATTCCGATTTGTAATGCATGTTTTGCATGAAAACAACATTTCAAGACAGAATTATTGAATAATTTGCCTTTTTAAAGCCATATTACATGCTAAAGCTGGTTCTGCAATTTCGTTTCTTTTTCCATTGAATTTTAAATCATGTATGATGAATGCTTTTCATTTACGCATATCTGCATTAAAGTAAATATGACTGAACTTTGAACTCCTGTCATTCAATTCAGTCCATTATTTCAAGGACATTTCGGATCCCATATGGTAGTTTTTATCAATAATTTCAAAATTAGATGACATGAATAATCATTAAATGAAAAGAGTTTTATGGTCCAAAAAATTTGAAACAAAAATTAAAAGTTCAGCACTCGCTCTGTATATGTATGCCATATATTTATTTATAGCACAACTTTTGGCAAGATAACAAAAGACGACTTACCTGGCAAAGAACGAAGCCGCTGCTGATGTTGCTGGGGGTGGGGACGACATTCTGCTCAGAGAGGGCGTTGACGGGGAGGTGGGAGGGGGTGGAGGTTGATGTTGGGGGGGAGGCACTGTATAGTTCATATAGGGGGGCGTCACATAATGCTTTCCTTGGACTGGGCTCATCTGCATTGCATAGTGTCCTTGGGGTAGGGAGTGTGACTGCATTGCCATGCTGACCCCGGGGTGTACTCCCCCGGGGTGGGGAACCACTTCCATATGTTGCTGAGGCTGCACTTGTTGATGAAACTGAGCTTGTTGATGCATCTGTATCTGTTGTTGAACATACTGTTGTTGAAGTTGCATATCATGTTGACCACCACCACCACCCTGCATGGGGACCACAGGATGACCATTGGGCAGTCCACCCTCCATCATATACAGTTCGGAGGTGTACATCCGACTTTCTCCGCCCGACGGTCGTGCCGCAATCATCTGCAAGGATTAAAAAACATACAGCATTTCAAACACCTTGAATCACTTTTGACAAAACACTTAGTCATTTTCACACATGAGATTTGATTGCCCTTGACTTTTGTATGAGAAAAAGTCTTCCCCAAAACCCTAGTGCAAACACATGTTCCAAGAGAATCACTTTTCCACTATTTCATACTAACTCTACGATAATAAGTTTGAGTCACCACTTTTTTCTACAGCAATACAAACTGTCATGATCACATATATATACATAAATATAATTACAAGACATATGACTGTACCAAAAATTTGATTACGCAAAAAAATATATAGGACACAATTTTATTAACGTATTAAATTTCTTCAAAAAATTTTCAGTAGTTGTATGAGTGCATTTTGTTAACATGAAACCAGAAACACATGGTTAAAAAAAAGTATTTCAGAGGTAGGGGGTCAGTGTAGAGCTCCATACATGTACTTAAAACCTATGAATACACTTCACATGCCGGTGAAGTCATATCAAACCATAAAAAAAATACAGGTAAAACAGATTTATTAAATTAATGGGGCATGGAAGTTTTCAATATTCAAATACAAGACTTCAATAGCACATAATTATTTTGCTGAAGTAAGCACAAAATTTAAACACGTGTTGGTTTTTTTTTTTTTAAATGCAACATGAAATTTTACCTTTAATACTTCAAAGCCAACTTTTTGAACAACTAACTGCAGTAAAGTTACATGTTTCTCAACAAAAGCTGTCTTCTAATGCCAGAAATTCAAAAGCTACAAAAACACCTGAATATAAGACAGCTTCAGATTTGCAAAGATCTATTTGACATAATGACATAAAGTTGTGAAAGGTTGGGCACAGGACAACCACGTCAATTCAAAGGAATGCTCAATTAAGCGATGAGTAAATTAAATATATGCAAATGATGATAAGAAATTTACATACGTACACGTTGAACAATTGATACAGTGGATATCGACACTTACTACATTACAGGAAACATGCATCGTATTTCAAAATGTCAGAAATACAAATGTGTAATTAACAGTCAAGTATATGGATGTAGATATAATTATTGCCTATCTGTGACATTCTTTTAAATGTTTGCACCATTAAAAGTTCATCTGATAAAAAGAATTGTATATAAACTTTAAATAAACATGTCTGCACCACAATATCTCAAATGTCAAGCACCTTTTTTATCGTAAAGATGTTTTTTGTGCAACAAAGTACAAAGTTATTAAAAAGCTATAAAAGTAATGGCACGAACTTGAAGTAAACGATAGAATGAATTTTAAAACCAGATATGTTTTGACTTCTTACATATCTGTGACATGTGTGGTCTTGTGTAAAATATACACAAAGTAAAAATGTGTAAAATAGTACATGTTTCCAACCTTTAATATGTCTCATTAAATTCACTTCAACATGAACCTCGCAAATAATTTCACCACAAGATGATCCTCGCAAATAATTTCACCACAAGATGATCCTCGCAAATAATTATGATACAAGATGATCCTCACAAATAATTTCACCACAGGATGCAGTTAAAATCCAGCAAATGTCTAAGAAAAGGTAATCTCCATGTTTATCAAAAATAATTTTCACATGTGTATATAGATCCAAAGTGTTCATTACTAATGGAATCACAAATCTTCTTTCTTTATAAAAATCCAGGTAGCACTTTGAAGTTTTCACACAGTCACAATAAAAACACATCCATGCACGCTATCATCCTGAAGTGTGTATGTCTTCTACATGTATACTCACACACTACTGCTGGTAGTAGCTTACAGTTTAAAGGTCAGAGGTCAACTTACAGTGGTTCACCTAACAGAGGTTGTAGGTCATTAGCAATGCAATGGTCCATTGACCTGTGGACACAGGTGACAGCTGACCAGTAAGGATGACCACACTGTGAAGTAAGATATCACTTTGATTGCACTGGACACCAGTCATTATCATGGCCATACCAACCCTTATAATGTCCATAAAACCAGGGGCTGGCTTACAAGTTATGAGAGGCAGGTGTAGGGTGCTGGTCAGTTCCCAGCTTGCTAGACACTACAAGGCTGGCAAGGAAAGAAGTACAGCCAGGGGCCTGAAAATCTAACCCTTTGTGGTGAAGGGCTATACAAGTAGATATATAAATAGTGAAGATTTAATTTTTAGATAAACAAAAAAGTCTACATATCAAACATTTCCGACTCAAAAATAAACAGAAGCCCCTCAACCTCCTGTGAGCTTAAACAACACCTTAACTGCCAGCCTCTGAATCACATGCATAAATAAAACAACCTGGCGTTGTATGTATCTGTGCTATTTCACAGTGAAATAAACACCCTATCAAACAGCCATTGTATTTATATAAACACTTTCAACTTTCACCATTTCGTGCTTCTCACTTGCCAATTACAAGTATTTATGTATTTCATTAATGTGCTTTAAACAAAGATTCCTGCATAATTAGTTTGATTAATGTCACTATTTGAATAACAATTATGTTATATATATATATAATACCTATATGGAGTTAAACTACTATATTGTTTTGTTAACCTAACATATAGTTTGGATAATTTCTTATTTTAAAAATATACAATGAATTTGTAGATCTCCTTAATTTGATATTAAGAAAATGTACAACAAAGTCAAATAAGATTTTACATGTGATGCAAAATCTTTTGAAAAATTCATTGAATATGCCTTTGTATTCATTGAAGCTGACAATGCTTTTACCATCCACACAATCTAATGCATTATTCACATATTGATACAGTGTGTGTACCATATACTGTCTGCTGAGACACCTGTTGGCCAGTTTGGTGTCTCTGGCCCCTAGGGACCTAAAACCACCTTACTGGGGCTCAAATTATACCCTTTACATAACCTTATGACATAATTCACAAGCAATACCTTGGAATATCTCAGGGACTCTGGAACTGGGGGTCATATTTCAAAGATAAGAGTACTTATCCCCTTCTCTTTGTAACTTAATTATCTCCCTGTTCTACTTATCACCCCCTCACCCACACATTATTGGGCCCAAGTAGACAGCCCTTCTAGTCCTTTTGATAAATTATCACCTAATTGATATTTGATAAATGAATACCTGTGTGGAAACCTCTTACGATCAATGTCTAGCCGATTAATTAACAGTAGAAATCAAAAAGGTTCCTAAATGATCTTGATCACTTTTATTGACTTAAAAATATTGACACAATCTGCCATTGTCCTTCCATATGACCTTCCTGACCTGTCCATTAGGAATTGTGGTGCTTTGCATTAACTGTTTTGAGTAAGTGTTTAAATCCAATGCTAAATGAATAAATGCTTTAATTTGAGTGTAAATATAGTGTTTATTGTCTGGAGTTTGTTTGATGGCATTCAGTGAGTGACATTTAGACGTTGAAGAGAAAATCTAATGACACCTGTGCTCACCTTTAACGAGATGCATGTGCTGTGTAAATTTCTATGCATTAGATTAGTAATGGTTTATACTTGTCTCTCATTTTACAGAGAGACAGACAATCCTCAGGTATTTACCTGTGTCAGGTGCATGTGATATTAAGATTTCACACGCAATCAACAAGGATTGATGTACAACCACGTCAGTTTCATATTCACGAAACTGACATTTCATTACCTGATCAATTATCAATTTACCATACAATGTGCACCTGTAGTTATAAATCAAAATATAATTTTTAAACATTGTCATTCATTTGTGTGTTAAAAATATGCCTTGCAAGATGATCTGTCTTGCTTGAAATACTAATATTTTTTGTAATAAAATAATATTACATTTGCCCTTCCATTGAAATAACGATTTTGTCATTAAGTATGATCTATGTAAATTAAATGCTGAAGCACCAAAATCAACTACTGGTATAAAATTCTCACCCATTGATATCTTAATTAACTTATTTCCAGCATAAAAAGAATTCTGGTACTTTCTGACATGATATCTCACTTTCACACAAAACAAGCTAAATTTTTCAAAAGTATGTATGTAAAGAAAAATTACAATGACAAATATATGCTCCCAAACCAGCACACCATCCTGTGTGGCAAACATTCTTACGACCTTGATCTGGGTTGATACCTTTATACCTCCATCAGAGAAAGGGCCATGTGGAGCAAAACTGACGAGGACCATTTCACCCATCCTACTTAATCATACCACGACACTGAATAAAGAATCTAATATACAACTGACTAACTCATAATTGTTGCAGTCCCGAAACTATTATTTCCCTCAACTGTGCTACATCTATTTTTTGCTAGGAGAGTCTATCATCATCCACAATCATAAAACCTCACTTTCTTTTCATACAGTTCAGTCGAGTGTGAACAATTGTTACATAAAAAGAACAAAACTGTTTAGCAGTGTCTGAGGGGTGGTATGGGTGTAGCGGGACGGGATTATAGGCACAAGATTACACCCTGGTCGTTACAAGGTCATGGTCCATTGCTTCCAGACATGCAAACCTCCAGTCAACGCAATCGTGTCACTTAGTTAAAGTGCTCTCACAGTGCAGCAACACTGCAGTGGTTTCACTGCCAGTCCCACAGATACATGAAACCCAACAAAGGTGCAAATGTGGCAGTTTTATTCAATATAATATCCTATGTGATTTTCAGTGTAGTATAGATATTGCAGTCTTAATATCTTCATTAGTTGAAAAGCAATTGTTTATTTATAATTTAAATAAAAGTTTGACAAATTTAACGCGTGGCTCAAAATTTCAATATTCTTATTTTCATCTACCAATATTGGATGGAACAGTTCTCAATCAATACTAAATGTAGCCAAAGTGATTGCTTCAATTTTAGAATTTGACCTCAATATTGGCCTGTTCCTCATTCGACATGCTTCATCCTGATCAGCTTTCAATTAATTTTCTGAAGTACAGTCATGCTATCATCCATATAACATTTTTTCTATGACAAGATGAAATGAGGAAGATGGTTTTCAGGGTTGCCATGGAAATGCTTCTAG